CCAACAGTTTCTGCTTATGGCGTTTTTGTCCTCCTTCTAGCCATCCAGCTCTCGCGCCGAAGACCGTCAAAACCGCCGAAGACCATCGAAGACCGCCAGAAGACCGCCGAAAACAGCCTCACCGCGATGAGCAACCAGGGGTGCACATGGTCGACTGCCTAGTGCCAACGCTGTTGTTTGTTCTCACGACGTGGATGTGGGAAGTATGAGGAAGATGGAGGAGGAGGAGGAGGAGGAGGAGGAGGAGGAGGGAGGAGTTGGAGATAGCTCCCGCGAAGTATGAGGAAGAGGGAAGAGGAAGTAGGAGGAGGAGGAGGAGGAGGAGGAGGCCAGTGGCCTGGAATGGACGGTCGCGCAAGTCGACGGCATCACCTCGTTCCCTGCAGCGGTCAGTGGGCAGCGACGCGCGTGGGCGGAGACTGTTTCGCCGCTCGAGAAGGGGAGCATGTAGCAGGAGGAGGAGGAGGTAGAGGAGGAGGAGTAGGAGGAGGAGGAGGAAGAGGAGTAAGAGGCGGCGGAGGAACAGGAACAGACAGGAGGAACGGGAAGTGGAGACGGGAGCAGCCGGAGAAGGATGAGGAGGGAGAAGGAGAGGGAGAAGTAGAGCTCCACATACAGCCCGTCCACCATCCGTCTCTCTCCTCACCATCCTGATCGCCGTCTCCGCCACGGATGCCGCCTCCAGGCCTGAGCGCTCCTCGCCCACGGGTCCCCGTTTCAACTGGAAGGCGCGCAGTCAACCACGTAGGGCCCGAGCTGCTACTCCTCTTGTTGCAGCGGGAGGCTTTGAGTTCGATTGCTGCTTGCCTTGTGTCGAAGAAGAAAAATCGGAGGTGGACAGACCTCCTACCCTGACACGTCGATTAGTGAATTGTCCGTTTTCGGTTCTCGAGAGGGCGCCGCGGCCGTCATTTTCCAGGCTTGCGCCCGCCAGGTTTTGGCCCGAGGTCGTTTTCACTAAACCACCTTTTACTAAAGGGGGTTCTGTCCATCCCCGAAAAAAAAAAACGCCATAAGCATAAACTGTCGGCGCTCCGCGCGGGTTTCTTGGATCCGCGCTGGGACCCTCTTATCCGCGCTGGTTGCCGGTGCTCCCAGTCCGCCGCGAGCCAGTGTCTGCAAGGGAGCGCGGGCCTCCGGGGCAATGCCGGGGGGGGGGCATAGGTCAAAGGGGGATGAGGATGCATCGACCCTCGATCGCCCACTCGTCGCAGGTGGGGGCCCGATAGGCTACCCCGCTATCGGGGCACATCGCCGATCCATCGACGATAGATTGTCGACTCCACGTCGATGTTCTCACCGCCGTTGAGCTGCTCCCTCCTACAGTTGCTCACCAGGGTCGGAAGATCGGGGCCGCAACCACGGCCAGTGTGCCTGACAGTAGACCGGGGTGGTCCCTTTGCTCCTCGTTTTCCTCCTCGACCCTACGGAGGCTGGGAAACCACGCGGGCGTCCCGGACAACGTTTACGCGTGCGAGTTTCTGCTCACGACGGCGACCCAGGATGGCGCGTTTCTCTTATCTTGGCCTCAACGAAGGGGGCAGCACGCACATCGCATCCTCCCCTTCTCGTCCTCGTCCTCATGCTCTTCCTCCACCTCTTCGTCCCCCTCGTCGTCCTCCACATGCCCTCTCCCACCCGCCCCTCATCCTACACATGGTAGCTGATGTGCTCTGGGGTGGTAGGATTGCGATTGAGATGAGGAGTGATGACCGCTTGAGGCTTCGAATTGGAGTATGCCTGCGCGCAGCTGGCATCGGCGGCTCGCCGAGGGGGGACGTGAGAGAGGGGGCAGGCCTTCGCAGAAGGCGGCAGGGCCTCTCAGAAGCCCTCCCTCATCATCATCAGCATCATCATCAGCATCATCATCATCATCATCATCATCATCAGCATCATCATCATCATCATCATCATCATCATCATCATCGTTTTTTGTTGTTTCGGAGGAGGTTCAGACTGCTTCTCAGAAGGCCAGACGGCTTTTGAGCCCTCTGGGAAGGCTTGCCCCTCTCATTTCTCTCTCTGCCGGGCGCACCGCCGAGAGTGAGCTTTGCCGTTCTGCTCGGAGGTCCCCGCGGCCCATGCTGGCGTGTCGGCCGGTCCTCATCACGGCTCTCTGGGGCCCTCGTCCTCGTTGTTGTGTGACTCTCTTGGCAGTCCCTGGATCGCGGCCGCCTGGTTGTTGCCCAAGAGACCCCGAAGACGCCCCAAGAGGCCCCCAAAGGGAACCCCCAAGAGGCAAACATCGTCCCATTCCCCAGGGAAGACGTACATGTTTAGCAGATTCGTTTTTTGGTTTTCCCAGCGGCCAACACGGCCCATGAGGCCCCCAAGACCGCCACGAGACGGCCCCAGGAGGCCCCCAAGGCGGCCCAAGTGGCCGTCAAGACGGTCCACGAGAGCCCCAAGACGTCCCCAAGAGAGGGCAACCGAGGCCAGGACGTGAAGACGTTGAAATGGGGAACAGTTCTGGTTCGGCAGCGACTCGCCGTTCATTGCGTCCTTGCATGGTTGTTCCTCTAGCGCTCCTCGTGCACCCAGGCACTCTCCTCCTCCCCCTCCTCCCCCTCCTCCTCCTCCTCCTCCTCCTCCTCCTCATCCTCCTCCTGCTCCTCCTCCCCCTCATCCTCCCCCTCCTCCTCCTCCTCCCCCTCCCCCTCCCCCTCCTCCTCCTCCTCCTCCTCGTCCTCCTCCTCCTCCTCATCCTCCTCATCCGTGTGCCGTCCTCCTCGACGTCGTCCTCCTCCGCCTCCTCCCCCTCCTCTTCCTACTCCACCCTCGCCCTCCTGACCCCCGCTGCCGCGAAGCCGATCTCCGATACGGCCTGTCTCTTCTCTCGGTGCAACTTGCAGCGCCCGACGGCGCCGGATGCCGGATGTGATCGCAAGGGGCTGTCGCCTCGGGGCTCAAGAGACGGGGTCAGTGCAAACGGGGGTCAGCCAGAGCGCCGGATCTCGCAGGATCCTGCATGTCGGCGGCGAGCGAGGAGGGGAAGTGAGAGGGGGCGGGCCTTCTCAGAAGGCTCGGAAGTCCCGCGGCCTTCTGAGAAGTTGTTTAATCCTTCCCCGGGGACAGAAGAAACTTCTCAGAAGGCGCGAGGGCTTCTGAGAAGTCCCACCGCCCTCTGAGAAGGCCTTCTTCTTCTCATGTCCCCCCCTCGCTCGCCGCCGAGCATAGCCAGAGGTGCACTGACAAGGGGTTAGCGCGCGGGATCTTGCAGGATCTTGCAGGGTCCTGCACCGCCTCACTGGCCCCGGGTTTGGATTCACCCAGGTCAGTAGAACCCCCCAACACCGTCACGCCCGCAGGGGGCGGGCAGACTGGTGGAGTCGGGGCGCAGCCAGCGGCAACGCTGCGGGCGGACAGGGCTCAGGCGGGGTCGAAGCTTTCGAGGCTCGAAGCCCGAGGTTCTCGAACGTCTTCCCTCGCCGGTTCTTCGGCGGCTTCAGCCTGGGGATGCTCTCGAGCAGCTGCGCCTCGCCGAGAGCGTTCCAGGGGTGCCCGAAGCGCCCCGAACAGCTGCGGGAGGCTCTGATCATGGGGCCGAAGACCACGTCGACACCCGATCGCTCATTGATCGCCGATGGGGCCTGATAGCCCACCCCGCCCAGGGGAGTGCGGCTTCGCGACCTGGGGCCCATCGCCCGTCTCTTGGCGGCGCGTATCGCCGAGTCCAGGTCGACGTTTCGGCTCCCCCCCCCACTGCTGCCCCCCAGGGCGCAGGTAATGGGGGTCGGCGGCCCTCCTGAGCGGACCTTCTGGCTGCCCGACTTCGGAAGTTTGCGTGCGCTCTCGAGGCGCGGGGTGGATTGCATCCGCTGCGCCTCGTCGAGCGCGTTCCAGGGATGCCGGAGCACCCACGCACGGCCGCCGCCGGAGGCGTGGGCCTCTGCCCTCGGATCCCCTCCTCTCAGGAAGGGAAGAAACACACACACAGACACAATTCATCGTCGATTCCCAGGAAAGTATAGAAACATAGGGGAAGTGGGGGGAAGACGAAGACCCAGAACACATGGGGACGTATGGGGGATCATGAGGTGTGTGTCTATTTATTTGTGTGTCCCTGGGCCCCTTCATCCTTGGGCGACCCCGTAGTTGGGTGCTACCGTGGAGCCACCCCTTTCTTTTCTCCCTCCGCGGATCCGTGTTTTGAAGGTTCTACGTGGCCGGCCAGGGTTCCCGCAATGGCCTTGCTCAGCATCGTTTAACCGATCCCCATACCCATCCAGACCCCTACCATCTCGGCCCCCCCGTTGGGGATTTACCCCTCGAAACCCGAAGGAAATAGCCTGGATTCCCATCTAGGGTGGTCAATCAGCCAGTGTGGCCCAGGCCACGCCGTTGGGGGTAGGGGTCGGCTAAGCGATGCCCAGACATGGCCTTCCTTGGCCTAGGTTGGCGCTGACCAAGCCCGTCTCCGAGGGAGGAGGGCGACGAGGAAGTCGGGGCGCAAGAGGAGGGCAGGTGCTACAGCGAGAAAGGATGTGAGGATAGCGGGGTGCTGGTCTTAGTGTTCTTGACCTCTCCGGGCCCACGTCGTCGCCATGCGGCCGGACGCTGGTTCGGACACACCGGCCAGGGTGGTGCCGAGTGCCGAGGAGGTGCTCTTGGTTGATTTTGGATGGAGCGTCTTTGGAGAATGAGGAAGAAGAAGAAGAAGACAGAGAAACATGTGAAGACACAAAGAAAAAGAAGAAGAAGAAGGAGAGGGTAAGGAAGACGCGTAGGAGGAGGAGCTCCAGAGCCCCTGCTTCTCCGTTGATGGACGTCTGCCCAGAGTTGCGGAGGGAGCCGGAAGAGTAAGTCCTGAAGGTGGCCCGATCCATCCCTCGACCCTCCAGCCCCTACTGCCCTCCTGCTCGTCGCCCTCTGCCTCCTCCATGCCTGGACGGAGGAGGGAGAAGGAGGAGGGACGGATGGAGCGACCGAGGATGAGGAGGGGAAGATTCCTCGCCCTCCTCCTTGCTCCCGCACGCGCCGGGCAAGCGGCCGGCCCTCAGGTGTTCAGGCCGTGCAGGTGGCCCTTCGGAGCGGACAAGCCGCCCGAGGAGCTTCGCCCTTCCTCGGCCCTGCTCCTCCTGCTGCTCTCCTCCCCCTCCTCCTCCTCCTCCTCCTCCTCCTCCTCCTCCTCCTCCTCCTCCTCCTCCTCCACCTCCACCTTCTCCTCCTCATCCTGCTCCTCCTCCTCATCCTGCTCCTCATCATCATCATCCTCCTCATTCTCCTCCTCCTCCTCCTCCTCCTCCTTTACCCTGTCCCGCCACTTCCTCTTCCTCGGCCCGGCCCCCCTGCCTGCAGTCAGGAACTTTTGCGTGGCGTGTCGCGGCGGCGGCCCCGGCGACACGCCGTGCCTTGCGGGCGGATGCCGCGTCGCTCCGCGCCCTCCGCTCCGCGGGGCCGGAGGCTGGGAGGAGCTCGAAAAGCTGACGCTCGGGGACCCGCGCGTGCTCGGCATGTCGCGCGCCGAAGCGCGGTGGGCCAGAGCCGGCGGCGCGACACGCTAGACAAACGTTCTTGCCTTTCGCCCCCCCGTCGCGTCGTGAAGCAAGAGCGGCAGGAGGTGTGTTTGGCCATCCTCGGCCTCCGAGGGCCCTCTCCATGGCCCTGGCCCGTCAGAGCACGTTTCAGGGTGAAGAGCCGGCCCCAGGAAAGGGGTCCAGACCTCTGGGGGGTCCTTTTCAAATACCTGAGAACACAAACGTCGAAGGTCTTCGTTTGTGTCCTCCTCCATCTCTGCCCCACTGCCTCCTCCTCCTCCTCCTCCTTCTCCTCATCCTATTCCTCTTTTACTCTTCCCCCTCCTCCATAATGTCCTTCTCCTTCTCCTTCTCCTCCTCCTCCTCCTCCTCCTCCTCCTCCTCCTCTTCCTCCTCCTTATCGCCCTCCTCCTCCCCCTCCTCCCTCCCAGGCGATTGAGGCAGGTGGCGCTGATGCGTCCTCCATCCTCTCCATCCCAATCCCCATCCTGACCCCATCCTCCACCCCCCTCGGAGAGCATCGCATCCCCGACCTCCCTCGCCTCTTGCTGCTCTCTGCTGCTGCTCCTTCCCAGGCCGCGCGCAGGCCCCCCTCCCCCCACCCAGTTCCCAGAGCCTAATGGGACGAAGGAGGGAAGGGGGGGGCAGGGGCGCATGGGGGGGGGGGGGAAATGGGAGGAGGGGGAGAAGGAGGAGGAGGAGGAGGAGGAGGAGGAGGGCAGAGGGAGGAGGAGGAGGAGGAGGAGGAGAGGAGGAGGAGGAGGGAGAGGATGAGGGAGGAGGAGGAGGGCGGATGAGAGGAGGAGAAGGAGGAGGAGGAGGAGGGAGGAGGAGGAGGAGGAGGAGGAGAGGAGGAGGGGAGGAGGAGGAGGAGGAGGAGGAGGAGGAGGAGGAGGAGGAGGAGGAGAGGACGCGGAGGAGGAGGAGGAGGAGGAGGAGGGAGGAGGAGGAGGGAGGGCGGGAGGGAGGGAGGGAGGGAGGGAGGGAGGAGGAGGGAGGGAGGGGGAGGGAGGGAGGGGGGGAGGGAGTGAGGGAGGGAGGGGGAGGAGGGAGGGAGGGAGGAGAGAGGGAGGGGGGGGAGGGAGGCGAGGGAGGGAAGAAGGGAGTAGAGCGAGAAGAATGGAGGATGCTGGAAGACGAGGGAGGCAGGGACGGATTAGGGGGAGGACACGCGGGCGCGACGAGGGGGGAGGCACGAGGAGGAGGCGGAGGGAGGAGGAGAAGGAGGAGGAGGAGGAGGAGGAGGAGGAGGAGGAGGAAAGGGAGGAGGAGGAGGAGGGAGGAGGAGGAGGAGGAGGGGGAGGAGGCAGGATGAGGGGGAGGAGGAGGAGGAAAGGGGGAGGAGGAGGAGGAGGAGGAGGAGGAGGAGGAGGAGGAGGAGGGAGGGCCACGGGTGCGGGAAGGGGGGTTGGACCGGGCTGGGGCATGGCCATGACGCCTCTTTCCAGAACGTTCTCAGAGCGCGCCGGAGCGGCCGCCGCGCCCAATACCTCTTCCAGAACTGCCGGATCTCAGAGCTTGCCGGTTCGTTTCACTGCGATTTGTCCCCGGTCCTCGCGTCGTTTCATTGGCCTGGACGCCCGAAATGGGTACGGAAAGAATGGGTACGATGCCCAACAGCAGTTCCCGTTCATTTTGAACAAAATTCGCTGTCCACACCGCCGCGGCCTGTGTCCATTCGAGGCAGAAGGCCGCCTGCCCAACAGCGTCCGCTGTTGGTTTGGGACAACATGTATTGTTGGGCATTGTACCCATTCTTTCCGTACCCACTGCGGGCGTCCAAAACTGGAGGGGGGAGGGGTCCGTAGCCATTTTGGCTCAAGTTCGAAACGCTTCCCCGGCGCTTCGAGCTTGGACGCTGCCGAGGGGATGGCCCAAGCGTCCTGAGGGTAGTCCTCACACTCGTTCCTAGTCGTGCGCCAGAGCACGCGGTCTACGTACGGTTCCTGCCTCACGACCAGCCTGCTGCCATGGGGAAGCGGCGCGCTGACCGTCGTGGAGAGGGCCGCTCGTCATCGGCCTCCTCGGACCGCCATAGGCGGAGCGCTAGCAGGACCCCCGATGCACGCCGTGCCGAGAGAGACGACCACACGAAGATAGTGTCCCAGCTCGACACCATTGCCTTCAGCATCGCCAGCGTGAATCAGGTTGTCACGCAGAACACTTCTGAGCTCTCCGAGCTCCGAGGTGCCGTCCAGACTAGTTTCAAGAAGTGCGGGGAGCACTCCGACCAGATGAGGCTTCTCTCCCGTGACGTTCAGCAGAAGCACCAGCATATTAGTGAGGACCTCGAGGCGAAGATGTCCGCACTCCGCGCCGAGTTCATCAATGCCAGAGCTAATGCCGACAATGAGGTGCCCTCTTCCACCCTAGACGAGAAGTGCCAGCAGATTGAGAAGCAGATCCATGACCTTGAGGAAAGGCGGAAGATCTCTGAGGCCCGTCTCTGTGAATCCCTTTCGACCCCCACGCCCACCACTCCTACCTCCCCATCGTCTGCTGCTTCGAGTGCCCGTCGGAACCCGAGGAGTAGAGCATCTGATCAGCCCCAGCAGGACACCCGTAAACTTGTCCTTTTAGGCTTCCCGCGCCCCCTGCTTGCCAAAGATCTGCGTGAGATCGGCAACGCATGTATCAAGGCGTTTTCTCCTGCGACGGACCACTCTTGCATCTTGGCCCGTGGCTTTGACTTACCAAAGAAAGTGTCACTCATGTTCGAGACGGCGCTAGCAGCAAGCACGTTTCATGACAACTTCGTCAAAGCAGGCGGCTCGTGGAATGTGGCCGACCCTGCTGCTGGCGCTCCCCCCCTCACGCTGCGCCTCAGGCGGGACCTCTCCCCTGTCTCCCGCCAGCTATTTCTTTCCCTCGGCCGAATGCGCTCTGCCCTGACCGCTCTCCTCGCCCCCAAGGGGGTCGAAGTGGGGAGTGCGGGGCTCGGAGGCTCTATCCCTTTCATGCGCCGTGCACACGAGCCAGTCTCTGCCGTGAAAGTCACTGTTTCAGGTGAATCAAATATCGAGATTCGTTGTGATCGAGACATCTTCCTCGAATTTGGGATTGCCGATCACATTGAGGCCATCGAAGCCGCAGGTGCCGTCTTGCTTCGGCGGCCCGTTTAGTTCTGAGGAGGACCGCTTTCAATCACAGATACTTTCCCCCCCTGCCTCCTGCCTCTTCCTGCCCCCCCCCCCCCCTCCTTCTCCCTCTGTGCCTGGAACACCGCAGCCTTGTTCGCCGCTGTGAGATCTTCCTCTTGGAGGGCCCGAGACAGATATCGCAGATACCTTAAATTATGCCAAACACACGACACTATTGCCGCACAGCAAACACACGGACATGTTGGGGATATTACCGAGTTTCAGCACCAGTTGTTTAGATTTCAGTTCGGGTACTCGTTCTTTGGAGATTCTGCCCGTGAAAGTGGCGCCGTCTCCGCTTTCAGCCCTACTATCTCCGCTCTCTTCTCCCCCATCTCCCACTCTGTCTTGGTCACCGGGAGGGTGATCAAGAGCACGCTTATCGGGGATCACGGGAGTCTGATGGTGTACAATCTCCACCTCCCGAATACGTCCGACTCTCTGGCGCTCTTCGTTGGAGTTCTTACTCTGCTACAGCGTGATGTTCTGTTGCACCAAGGAGATGGTGCTGAATTAGCAGCTCATATTACACTCATGGGGGACTGGAACTTTGTCTTGGAAGAGGAGGGGAGACTAGCGGGGGACGGGAGTGGGCTCTCTGCTGGCGACCTGGGGCAATCGCGCTGCTTTCGCCGCCTCTTTCCTCAGTTTACGGAGTTTTTTTTTAAAACCCGCCGATACTCGAAGGGGGAAAAGAGGCAAGGCTGTGGCGTCCACATCCCGAATTGACTGCATTTATATATCCTGACCTGCCGCTCTTATTCGTGACCTCACCATCTCCACCTCCACCATCGGTACTGTGAAAGCCGTGATGAGCAGCGACCACATCCCCGTGCGTTCGACTGTCACGAAGTCCCCGCCCGACTCCAGGCACCCCTGCACCCCGCCCTGGGTCACTGCCATGCCTGAGTTCACCCTGGCGCTCGAGGAAGCCCCGTCCTCCACCCCGCCTGATTGGGGCGAGCGGGCTCGCCTCGAGGCTGCCGAGTTGCTGATGTTCGAAGCGGGCCGCGCTGCAAGGAATGCGCTCCGCCGACGGCTTGCCCACGCGAAGCAAGAAAAGCACTACTGGGCCCTCTTCGCCATGCGCGCCGTACTTCGCGGGGATGTTGAGGGCGTTCGCCTCTCCCTTGGCTGCTGCCCCCGCTTGCGGCCCCACTTCGACGAGTCCGATCGATGCATCCACTTCGAAGGGCTCGCCCAGCATATATGTTGCATGTACCGTCAAGTTTTAGGTGGGGAAGAGGAGGAGATTAGGCTCACCCGCACCGACGAGGAGACCAAACGATCGATGCCAGCTCGCCTTCGACGTCGAAAACAGTTGTGGCAAACATTCCGACGGCGGACGGCCCTGGGGAACGTGGTCCTGGGTGACGGTGGACATTCTTCCTCCGACGTTGGTGCCGCCGAGGCGCTGGGGCCCTTTTGTGAGAAGGAATTTGCTGCGCCCGATATTGACAGAACCAAGCGGCAGGATATTGCCGAGCACATCCGCACATTGCGGGAACCTATCGCTCAAGAGTGGCGTCTGCCCTACGAGTCCTGGTATCAGCTGGTTCTCTCGCGAGGGCAGAACACCCCTGGCCCTGGCGGGCTGCCTTACGCTGTGTGGAAACATCCGCTTGCCGCTCGCCTCCTCTACTCCTGTTACCTCACCCTCTTCAATGGCAACATCACCTCCCCCCTACAGACACGCTCAGCAGTTTATTCGTCTTCTTGCCGAAGGGAGTGCTACAGGATGACCCCCCAGGGCAGCAGCTTAATCGCCTTGCTTCGGCCACGGGGGCGATCTGTCTTGGCAATGCTGATGCGAAGATCATGGCCACTGTATGTATCGCGCCCATTGCGGAAATTGTTTCTGATTTGATTGGGGAGGAGCAGACGTGCGTGGGGGGGGACATGATAGAGAACGTGGTGAGAGCGGAGGCCTGGTGGGTGGAGAGGCACATGAAGGCCGAAGTGAACGCAGCGTTGCTCCTCGCCGAGTTTGCCTCTGCTTTCCCGAGTTTGGCGCAGCCCTGGCTCTTTTTCGTCCTGCAGGCAATGGGCACCCCTTCTCACCTCAACAATTTCTTCCGAATGGCGCACGCCGACAACGCTGCAATTATCTCGCTCCGTGGGCAAAGACATATGAGTATGAAAATCCCTTCTGGAGTTAAACAGGGGTGCCCTGCATCGATGTGTTTGTTCGCGCTCGCGGTGAACCCGATCTTAGCCTGGATTCGTGACGAGCATGGGTCCTCCCTCGGCCTTACGCTCGCCTATGCGGGCGACTTTGGCTCCGGGGTTGAGAGGGCCACCAATGGGCTGAAGGAGCTGCTTGACTCCCTCGGCGAGCTGGGGCCGATTGCCAATCTCAAGCTGAACTTTCGCAAGTGGCCAAGTCGTGATGTGTGGGGCGCTGGGCGCTTCCCCGCTACGTGCCCTTCTCGACTCGCATGGTGCCCCCTACAGCCAGATTCAGGTTCTCCTCTCGGCCACTTACCTGGGGTTCCCGATCGGCCCCGATGGTTCCCAACAGGTTTGGTCCCCCATTCTTCCCCGCTTCGTCGAGAGGGTGCACCAGACGGGGGTCATGGGCCTAGGTATCGCTCAATCAGCTGCAGCTTTTTCGTGTGATGTGCGTGAGCAAACTTCTCTTTCGACTGCAACTCTATCCGCCGTCGCAGGAGCTGGGGAAGGCATACCTCAACAGCGTCCTGCCCCTGACTTCAGGGCCGCGGAACGCGATCTCCTACCACGTCGCCACGAAGCTTTCGCAAGTCGGGTTCACCTCGGAATTTGTTGAGTTGGATGTTGTTGCCAAGGCGACGGCCCTTCGTTACCTGATGCGTTCTGGGTGGCTGTTTGGGCTCCTGGACACTTTGGAAAGTTCGCGGATGGACCTGGGGCACATCCCCTTTCGGTGGCACCGAGGTTGGCATGCTCATGGGTTCTTCAGTTACCTTCGGTCCCTTGGGGGATGGTACTGTGGGCTGTCCCTGGAGATCTCCCCCGACACCAACAAGCTCCAACATAAGCTATACAAAGCGTTTCGGGAAATCGAGAAGAATGAATCCATCGCATCGATCCTTCTTCGCCGCGCCCACCACTTCTGCCCACAGGTTACCATTGAGCGCCTCAATACCCTCAAACACAACGTTCGAAGGGTATGTGCTGCTACCAGTATGTATTTGGCGATCGCCCCTTTTCGTATGCTGACAGGGTCAACTTGCACGAGCTCGCGCTCTCATTCCTCACCTCTGATCTTTGTTTGGTTGCGTCTGCCCCGATGGTCTGGACGCCGACTCTCTCCGACACTACCCGGCATGCCCGCGTCTCGAGGCTGTTCTCAGAAGGTGGATGGGGCGGGGCCTCGAGGCCCCTCAAAGTGAGCGTTCTTTTCATTGGTTCCCCTCTTGTCTCCTCCTTGCGTTTGGTGATGCGTCCAGGGTCCTCCAAAGAGCTGCATGCTCTATATAGAGGCGTTCATCGCCGCATTGAATGCCCGTCGTCTCGGGCGTTCTGCCCCAGCTGAGCTTGTCTTTGAGGCGAGGCTTCGCGTCGCGGCCCGCAGGCGCCCCAGTCTCGCCGAGGTCTGGTGCGACTCTCGTGCCTGGGCCTTTCGACAGGTGGCGAGGGCGGGGGCTCCGCGTGGGGGAGCGCTGCCGCCGCGGATGCCTGGCACGCCGCGCGGCAGGTGGGAGCTCCCCTCGGACAGTGGGCCCCCCCCTCGCCACGGCCGAGTTCGGACTGCTCGACCAAGGAGTCGACCGCCTTCAACTGGGACCCCCAGGAGCCTCCAGAGCCCGGTGGGTAAAACAAATGGAGGGGGGGGGGGGGGCCAGGGTGATATTGAAGACCATGCGGCCTCAGGTTTCTCATCGTCATCATCGTCGTTATCATTATCAACAGCAGCACCAGCATCATCGTCAGCATCATCATCCACATGATCATACGCAGCGTCAATATCACCAGAATCATCCTCATCATGATCCGCAGCATCAGCATACTCACCATCAGCATCAACACCAACAACACCATCATCATCATCATCATCATCACCCTCAGCGTCATCATCAGCATCAGCATCGCCACCATCAGCATCATCATCATCGTCATGATCATCATTAACATCATTAGCATCACCCTGATCATCATCAAGCGTATCGGCATCATCTTCATCATCATCATCGTCATGTTCATGGTCGTCATCATCACCACCACCATCTCCGTCGTCCATCGTAGTCGTCGCTGCCATCGTTCTCATCATCATCAGCAGCATCGTCATCATCGTCATCATCATCAACATTGTCATGACCATCATCGATATTGCCATTATCATCGTCATCATCCTCAGCATCACCGCCATAACCATCACCACCACCATCTCCGTCGTCATTATCATCCGTGTCGTAGTCGTCGTTGCCATCGTCCTCATCATCATCACCAGCAGCATCGTCATCATCGTCATCATCATCAACATCGTCATGACCATCATCGACATTGTCATTATCATCGTCATCATCCTCAGCATCAGCATGGTAGCCATCATGAGCACAATAATCATCCTCATAATCATACTCCTCCTCCTCCTCCTCTTCCTCCTCCTCCTCCCTCTCCTCCCCCTCCTCGTCTTCCTCCCCATGTTCATCATCGTCCTCCTTCTCCTAGCTTTTCTCATCGTCTTCCTCCTGTGAGAAGAAACCCTACAATCAAAACGTTCAGGAGTCCGCTCGCTTGAAAACATCAAGAAGTCATCGCAGTCGCAATATCGAGAAGCCCGTGTTTTTGAACACAGCATGAAGCCGCACAGTCAAGCACACACAGACATCCGTACACCATAAAAAAAAACAAACGAGACCCATGCAGACAAAACAATTTGACAACGTATTAGGTCCACGAACCCCGAGAGGGCACCAAAAGAACAAGCCAAAACGTATGACCAACCATCGAAAAACTGTGAGGGTACCAAAATCATAAGAAGCGACAGTGTTCTGGCCCTCGGACTTCCTCCTGGCCTCTCCAGCCCAGGTCCGCCCAGGCAACCCGAGGGTCCGAAGACCGTGGATTCAACGGGCTTTTAAGCTGTTCGGCCGACCCCCAGAAGGAGGGAGGAGCCCGGGAAGAGTAGGGGGCCACATGCGAACCCTGCCCCTACCCCCCACGATCTCTGAGTGGGAGGGTGGGGTTCACTCCGTTCGGGAGCTCCCAAGCGAAGTGAACCCCACCCTCCCCCTCAGAAATCGTGGGGGGCACGGGTAGGGTTCGCATGCGGTCCCCTAAAGATTCCTCCCGCGCGTGCGGATCCGGCGGTGCCGTACTGGTTTCCCACACGGCCTCGCAAGATCATGTCCAGGCATTCCCGGGCACGACGCGCGCGCCGCGGCCTCGGAACGGAGGGCGGCAGGAGGGGCGCAGGGTGCCGAGGTCGACGGTTTGCGGGCCTGCCCGACGGCCTCCAAGTGTAGGAATTGGGCGGAGAAGCAATCAGGAAGAGAGTGAGGAGGAGGAGGAGGAGGAGGAGGAGGAGGAGGAGGAGGAGGAGGCGACGAAGCAAGAAGAGTGGCGGCCGAGGAGCAATCGCAGGAGACGGCAGAAGAGGATGCGGAGAAGAAGGGGAGGGGGCTAAATCAAGAGGGACACGTCGATAAGGAGGAAGTCGCGCAGAGTGGACATGAGGAGGGAGACGACACGGCGCGTCGGGCATGGCCTCAGCAAGCGTGAAACATCGTTTGAGCCGCGGCGTGAGGTCGGGAACCGCAGAAGGGCAGAAACGAGCATCATGTAATAAACGTGTGGCAATGCTCCAGGCGTTGGGATATGCAGCCACCATCTGCGGCTTGTGGGACGGAGGCCTCTTGGATGCCCTTGCTTTCTTTTAGGGAAGGGTTTGGGCGTCCTCTTGGAGCCATGTCGGAGTCTTTTGGGACGGCAGTCTGGACCCCCAGGGGAAGGGAGAGAGAAGAGGGAGGGCACAGCCTGTCAGCTCACGCGCTGTTTCCCCCGGCACGCGGGCGTCGGCGGAGCCGTGTTTCTTGGCAGCCGGACAGGTTTTCGTTTGTTCTTCGTACAGTGCCGTTTTCAATACATGCTCCGCGTGCGGATCACGTATTGAAAATGCAGGGATGTGGTATTAAAAACAACGATGCGTTCATGCATACATGTATTCATACATTAATTATGTATGCGAAAATGTATGCATTCAAAATGCATGATCATATAAAGTTTCCAATGTATTAAAAATTCCATATGTTTAAACATCCCATGTATTAAAAACAGCACTGCAGGGGTTTGGAGGGGGGCTGCACGCGGCGAGGATGCCGCCTGCGTGACGGACTTCTACCCGGCGTTCCAGCGGATGCTGTCCGAGGACGAGGGCCTGCTGCCGCCCAGGGATAGCCCCTCGCTGATCAACGAGGCGCCAGGGGCGGCGGCTCCTCCTCCTCCCTCCTCCTCCTCCTCCTCCTCCTCTTCCCTTCTCCTCCTCCTCTTCTCTCCTCCTCCCTCTTCTCTCCTCCTCCTCTTCCCTCCTCCTCCTCCTCCTTCTCCTCCTCCTCCTCCTCCTCTTCCCTCCGCCTCCTCCTCCTCCTCCTCTCTCCTCCTCCCTCCCTTCCTCCCCTCCTCCTCCTCCTCCTCCTCCTCCTTCCTCCTCCGCCTCCTCCTCCTCCTCCTCTTCCCTCCTCCTCCTCCTCCTCCTCCTCCTCCTCCTCCCAGGGGACGCGCGTCCCAAGTGCCTATGCCATGCATCGGTGGTGAAAGAACGACGGCAAGGAGATGGGGCAGCGCTCACTCTGTACCGTCGCAACAGGGACCGACGGGGCATGCAGGCTAGCAGCATCCGTATCCAACCACAGATCCCCTGGAGCCCTGGGGACATGGCTGTAAGCAGACTGCACCAGCAAGCAAGAAGGTAAGGCTTGACTCCTCCTGCCTCTCCTCCCCCCTCCCTCCCTCCCTCTCTTGTTTTGTTTTTTTGCTTTGTTTCCTCTCTCTCTCTCTCTTTCTCTCTTTCCCCCCCACGACGAGAAGAAGGAGACTTCCCGAAGCAGTGCTTGCACTTCGGGGTTCGTACTCCGGCGACCGCAGGAGATCTGGGAGGCGTGCCGAGTTTTTTGGCCACGCCGCCGCCCGTGGGCGCCTCGCCCGCGCTCCGCGTGCCGGATGCGCTGGCGTGCCGGCGCTCCTCCGCGTGGCCTTGGCATCGCTCGGACGTGTGCAGTTTTCCTTCGGCGGGGCCCATCGAGGAGCATCCTTGATCATTTGGGGGAGAAAAAAAACACGCACGACACCGAAAACAAAAACACAGGGAATGGACGTCCGAGCGATGGCGAGTGGCCGCCCGTGGGCGCCGTCGCGAGCGCGCGCCATCCTAATCATTCACGGAGCCTGCCTGCTCGTAAGGGTCTCGCCCTTTGCTGCCAGCCCCCTCTCTGCCAGAGCCATCGCGCGCGCGCCTCGCGCGCGCTCGGGTTCTGGCTAGGCTGGATGGTCGAACTCTTAGGCTTTCCTGTTGGGCTTCCTGGAGCCCAGGGCTGGAAATGTTCGCTCGGCCCCCGCCTGGACCGCTCCCGGGCCTGAATGGCGCCCCCCCCCCCCCTCCTCCTTCCCGGGGCGTCAGCCTCCCCCCCCCCGACAGAGCGGAGCCCCCCTTCCTCCTGCCTCCCTCCCGGGCCTGAATGGCGTCAGCCCCCCACACCGACAGCGAAGCTCCCCCCCCCCCCTCCTCCCTCCCGGGGGCCTGGATGGCGTCAGCCCCGCCCCCCCTCCTCCCTCCTGGGCCTGAATGGCGTTAGGCCCCCTCCCCCCCTCCTCCCTCCCGGGCCTGAATGGCGTCAGCCCCCCCCCCCCGACAGAGCGAAGCTTGAGCGAGCTCAAGCCCACGCTCTCAGAAACTCACACGCCGGATCGGCGGATTTGAGCAATGACAGTTTCGGCCGACCCCAGGGGGTGACACGTTTTGAGAATTTGTGCATCTCCCTCAACCCTGGGCCAGACGGAAAAGGCGACAACTTGACAGATCTGCGCGGCTGAACGCAACGTTTTGCAAATCCTTGTCTGAACGATCTGCTTGGCAAACGAGTTCATCCATGCCACAAGTACAATTGAAGAGAGGGGCCCGGGTCCACCGGGCACCGAAACAACAACTGGTCTCTCGAAGCCGCTCGACATGCATTCCCAGACCGATGCTGTGCTCTGGAGACGCCTGACGCATTCGAAAAGGCCACAACGAACATATGAAACCTTTCTAGACCCGCGAATGTACTCCCAAGACCTGGACAGCCAAAGGACGGTAACGGTACACGGACGTGCCCGGCAGGCGGCCGCGAGAGCGGTGTAATTAATGATATTGCCAGGCATCTTACCTCTCAACACAATGTGGGATGTTTCTGAGAAGGGACAGATGCCGTGGCCGAAACACGGAATATTTTGATCACGGAGTGGCGGGGCATGCCAATTGACGAACAAACTCAGTTTACGCCAGTTCGCCCCACATTCACATTGATCAGACATGAGTTGCTTACGTACAGGGCTTGTGAGCACGCAAGGTCGCCATCAGGAGTTCCTTCCACGCCTGGGAGGGGTGAGGGCTCTCAATAAGGATCGGGATTACGCATGGAATGCATGCGCGCATATATCTGCGAGTGGAGGCCAGGGCTTGATAGCCAGAGGCGAGATGGGCTTGCTCAACAGGGGTGGCATCAGGGATCCCGCAAGGGCACCACTGACGACGCGTTTGCTTGACCAGGGCCAGGGTCTAACTTACACAACTAATACAGAGGAAGGCCGCGAAAATGCATTTGATTTTCCGACCCCGCACCCAGCCCACAATGACAGTAAGAACAACGTGATTGGTAAGGTCATATCCAGCTCCCTCTTAGAGAGTTCACAACCCGTGCAACTATCACCTTTCTGCAAGAACTGTTTAGCAACGCCTTCTGAACTCGAGAAGAGATCATCGCGGGCAGGTAGACGCTCATCCGGTCCCGCGCTGCGATCGCCGCGACCTCCGTGCAAGGGCCGCCTGGCCCCACCATTCATTTACGGCCCGACAAATTCTTAGATGTCGCACCTGGGGGGACTGGGGCCGCCAGCGCGCCCGTCATGAGCAGCGCGAGCTTGGATCCGATGCTCAGGCCGGAGTCCCTGACGGCCTCTGGCAGCTACTCGAGAGACTTGAGAAGTCGAGCGTGCTTCTCGTAATTAGCGTTTCGCCGAGGAGTCTGCGGCGCCCCCGCGGCGCTTGACCTCCACGGCCCGTGGTGTCTCCCGAGCGCGGCGCAGTGCGCCGTCGCTGGCGCCACCGTGGCGGGTCGCGCAGGGGCGCAGGCGAGCACTCTTCAAGCCCTGCCCGCCTCTCGGACCCTCCTGGACCGAGGATGTCCTCGGCATCGCTCGGACGTGTGCGTTTGTTCCTCGGCGAGGACCTTCGAGGAGCATCCTTGATCCTTTGGCGAAAAAGCCACGCACGAAACCGAACAAAAGCACACGTGATGGACGTCCAAGCGATGGCGAGGATGTCGGATGGCTGGAGGACCAGACTCTCGCGCTGCCGGTCCGCCGAGGGAGGGCGTCGAAGCGGGGGTGCAGCACCATCAGGCCAGGAGGAGGAGGAGGAGGAGGAGGAGGAGGAGGAGGAGGAGGAGGAGGGGGAGGGGGAGGGGGAGGAGGAGGGAGGAGGAGGAGGGAGGAGGAGGAGGAGGAGGAGGAGGAGGAGGAGGAGGAGGGGAGGAGGAGGAGGAGGAGGAAGGTCCGTCCAACAGCAGCGACTCGTCAAATGCCTGTGTCTCGAATCGGACCGCCGCCTCCTCCTCCGCCGCGAGCAGCAGGGCCCCGCGCGGCGTGCCCGACCCCCCTGCGAGGAGGAGCCGGCTGCTTGACGCGCAGTGCCGGTCACTCGTGGGGACGAGGCCTTCCGAGTGCTCTGTGAGATCCGAGCGCCCACAGGGGCACGCAGGGCAGTCCACGGCAGCGGCGCCCGGCTGCGCCCTGGCGCGAGCCGCCTGAAGCCCTTCAAGTTCGCTTTGGGCAGTCCTAGGGGGCCACATGCGAACCCTATTTACCCCTACCCCCCACGATTTCTGAGGGGGAGGGTGGGGTTCACTTCGTTCGGGAGCTCTCGAGCAAAGTGAACCCCACCCTCCCCCTCAGAAGTCGTGGGGGGTAGGGGTAGGGTTCGCATGTGGCCCCCTAAGTCCAGCGCCCTGCCGCTCCGGATGCCTGGGACGCGGCACTCCAGGTGCGCGATCAGATTCTCGCCCGCGTCGTGGCTGTGGCCCTGGAAAAAAGGTCCTCTGGGTACTCCATCACCGTCGCTTCGATGCCCTCGCCCGTCTCGAGCGGCATGCCGTTCTCGGAGGCCCACTTCCGGACGTCCTTCAAGCCTTGGTCGCAGATCGAAGCCGAAGGCTTGGTCGCCCGGCTCACCTCCATGAAGTACTGGCCAAACCTCCTAGCTTCAGGAGGGAAAGAAACACACAGACACAATTAATCGTCAACTCCCAGGAAAATATGCAAAAATATGGGAGGTGGGGGGGAAGACAAAAACCCAGAAAATATAGGAAAATATGGGGAATAGTTTTATTTGTGTGTATTTATGTGTGTGTCCCAGGTCCCCTTCATAGCTTCCCGAGCTTCCGTGCCATGGGCAATCTGACGATATTTTGCCAGCTTGGCGCCCCGAAGATGGGTCAGGCCGCCCCCCGTATGCGCCACGGGCCCGTTGGCTGGCAAGTGGCGGGCCTTAGGTGGTCGGCGAGGTCGCCGTCTGGGTCGCCGTCGCCGCCCTCGCTGTCGTCGCTTGGCCGCCGACGACGTCATAGCCAAGTGATCCCAACATGTCACGGTAGCCGCCCGCTGGCCACTGGGCGTCGTCGAACTCCCAGAGGTCTTCGGTGGAGCTCCTTATGGGGCGACGAAGCGTGTGAGGGACGTGCCGAAGTGAGGCGGCGACGCCATGCGGGCCCTGGCGCCGGAGTTGTCGGTGGAGCTCTGTATGGGGCCACGCAACGTGTGAGGCGTGTGCCGAAGTGAGGCGGCGGCGCCATGCGGACCCGTGCATTTGGGCCTGCGCTGCAGCTCCTTATGGGGCGACGAAACGTGTGAGGGGTGTGCCGGGAAAAAGGCGGCGACGTCATGCCGACCTTGGTATGTTGGCTTTAGTTGGAGCTCCCCGTGGGGCCACGAAGCGTGTGAGGGATGATCCGAAATGAATCGGCGACGCCATGCGGACCCTGGCATTTGGGCCGCAGCTGGAGCTCGGGAGGATATTCTGAGGGCAGAGGCAAGGATGGGAGGAGGGAGGAGGGGCAGCGGAGGGTGAAAGTGAGACGCGGGGCGCTGTTTCTTCAAAACGAGGACACAACAGCACGGGATGGTTTGGAAAAAAGGAGGAGGTCGAGGAGCAGGATGAGGAGAAGG